TTAGATATTTATGGAAATATCTATAGTAGGAAAATTTGTAATTACCAGATAAGACATATTGGCTTCAAAATATGCATTGTCACACCATCTTACAACAATGAACTTTAAATCAATATTCTGCAAAAAAGATTCGATTTCTTTTTGGATTTTCCGAATCCGACTACGTAATCTCGTTTTGGCAATTTTAAGATTATTAATCATCTTATAGATCCTGATAATCTCATCACATGTTGCAAAAAAATGATTAATAACTAAAAAATTCCTAATAAGGATAATCAGACATTCGATCTTCTCAATAATTGGGGCATTTTTCGTAAAAAAGAAATTAAACTTCGGACAATGGTTTCCGATATCATTAAGATCATCGTATAAATCATTCATCAAATGTTTTAAGTGTAGAAATTCTATCTGTGAACACATTTTGATGTTCACAATCAAAATAAGAATAAGGAACATTTTTATAATATTTTAAAATAATTCTGAATTATTAATGATTTTTGATATTCTCACACGATTGTAAAAACTTATGTAATGATAAAAATAAAAAGATAAATCCCCAACATCTGGGATGAATGAATATGAATAAAACTTTTAATGAATAAAATGTTGTTTAACGTTTAACAAATACTTTATTTTTTTTTTTGTTTTGAATAATCTTAATTTAGTATTGATCCTGTTGATCTAGAATTCTATGTTTTTGTTCTATTTCTCACTATTTGAAATCATGTTATTTTTTGTTTACAGAATACCAATTTCAAATCGTTCTTTTTAATATGTACAAATCAAGATGTTACGAAAATACTAAAAGTATTTAATAATCAACCTGCATACGACACAAAACAATCCAAAAATTTTATCGATTGTCAAAAAAATGAAATTTTTCAAGAAACTAATTCAAAAATTTTTGAAGAATAAAAAACAAGTGATTAATGAAGAAAATTGGAATGACTACCAACAGGATAATAATTGGTCTTCTTGTTCAATTATCGATAAAGAAGACTATTTTAAATCCACTATACCAATAATCGAAGAAGAAAAACAATTTAAAATTGAAATAAATTTTAATAATTATATACTTTTTACTAATTATAAAAATTTTAAAGAATATCTAATCGAAAAAGAAATTATTTCTTATTCATTAAAAATATATGATGAAACAAAAAATAAAAGATTAATTAATCACTTAAGTTGGATGGAATATCATATTTGTTCTCATTTTCACAATTGGGGAAAAGGATATCAATATAAAGTTAAAAATAATTCACTTGAATTATTAGATTTAGTATCAGAAATGTATATTAAAGGTATTGAACTTTGCTTAAAAATTATTAATGAAGAATGTGAAGTGTTTGGGATAAAATATATTTGGAGTTGGAGTGATTTAGAAAAATATAACGAAGAGTTTCTTGCTTATTAATTTGATTATTAATAGCTATATTTATATTTATTTATTTATATTTGTATTATATCATTGTAAAATAAAGTTCAACTAATTATCATATATTTTTAAATTAATAATTTTCGAAATTTAAATATTTATTGATTACTTATTAATTAAAATAAAATAAAGAATTGATCTACTTATTCGATCAATAATCAAGAAGAGTTTTATGCCCTCTGGATTATTAATTGAAGAAGAAAATCAATTATTTAAAATAAAAAAAATTACACACTTATTTATATTTTTATCTGTAGTCTTAAATATTTATGTAATGTTTATCGATATTATTAATAAAGTTTATCTTGCACATGCTTATCATTAACATCTATCACATTAATAATTTTTAAAATCCGAATATTTATTAATTAAAATAAAATATATAAACAATTGAATTTATATAGTTGAATTTATACAATAAATATTATGGATGAAAATAAATATTTATTCGATATTAATTCTAACAAGGTTAGTGTAGTATTGTGTTGAATGTATACACAGATGTAAGTCACGCTGTGGTTGAATGAGCTTTGCGACTGTTGGGACATCTGTCTACCGGCAAAGAATCGCCCATGTAGATCTGTGTATATAGTTATAGGGGTGAATACGATTGGAAAACTACCAACTATGAACATAATGAAACATAAATACTGACACTAACATTTTATTATAGATTTACATAAAACACCAAGAAAATAATCCTTGTTTATTATTTAAAAATGAAATTATTAATTCGTTAAATAATTTTGACATAAATGAAAATTTTATCACAAAACATATACATGATGATCGTGATAAAGATATCATAGTCACTAAATATGATATCGAAACTTTAATTTCTTGTAAATATAGAAATAAAAGAAATATTGGGTTTAATGATGTTGAAAGAACAGCAATTGTATCTAGTTATTATGACGTTCAGGGTGTTGTTGTAACAAATTTAGATTATTCCAAAAAAGCAACAATGGCTGTTTCTAAACATAATGTTATCTTAACATATCAATCAAATCTTGAACGTAAATTAAATCATCATATCGAAACCGAATCAGATAAAAAAGATCTTGATGTATTGTGTGACATCTTAAACAACGAAAATTCCGATTTATTTGTTAAATTTTAAATTTAATAAACTCAAAAATTGGGGTGTTTTATAGATATACCAAATGTATTATTAATTGAAAATCAAACTAATTTATATTAATAATAAAAGAACTGCGTTTTGGATTTTTTTTCTTTACAACTTTTGAAAAATTCAACAATATCAATCGATATAAATTATTCTTAAAAATGTCTAACTACACTTCCCAATCTGATTCTGAGGATGGTTTGAATTATCTTTCAAAAACTATCACTCAAGAATACGTTAACACAAATAATAAAATTCAAAAACTTGAAGATGCGATTTCTTTTTATCGCAATTGCCTTTTCTTGTTATTTGTTTTGATCATAATAATAACCTTTGTCAGTAGTTGTTGTATATTTATGTTATACAACTCAAACACACAACTACTTAAAGAAGCATTACACGTTGAAGTTGCAAATGAGCTATTCAACAAAAACTTGGATTTGATAATCGATTTTCTCAACCAACATCGATTATGAAAATTGATCTACTTATTCAATCATCGATATAGAAAATTCTTAAATTCTCATTACCAACAATTGAAGAAGAAAAACAATTTATTAAATATTATTTTTTTTAATAATTAATTATTAATCATCTGTATTTATTTTATGAGAAAATGAACAATTTGAGAATATCATAAAGTATTATTATATTTTGCATATTGTATATCTACAGTAATATTTAAAAATAATTGGAAAATTAGTTTTTACTTAGTATTTGAAATAAAAATAACATTAAAATCTTGCATAAGTTTCTAAACTTAAATATGGTATTAAATTTGACTCGCGAACAAAAATTATCCTGTTATTAAGTCTTGCTTCATCTTTTACAGATGCATTTTCTTGACACACTATAATTATTTTATCATGAAACGTGTATAAATTTTGACCAAATCTTTCAATTAATGAAGAAATGAATGGTTCGATATGTGATTTTTTAACACATTTTGCTTTTATACCACGAATTATAAATCTTCTTTCATCATAAACTCGATTTCTAAAAATAATTGTGCCATAATCAATATTGTCATTATTAAAAGTTAGAACTGATGAATATCGAGAATTTCCTATTCTATTTATTAGTTTATTTAATATTTGTCGAGTGAATGCATCATGTTGTGTAGTGTTTATTTTGTGTAATAAAAATATAGTAATGATAAAATAAATTAAAATTTTATTCATTTTTTTTTTATTATAAATGTTAAAACATATTAATTATTTATATAATTATTTGATTTTATTATTAATATAAAAAAATTATTTATTTTAATTTATTTATTTTGATTTATTTCCCGAATTTTGTTTCTAGCATTAAAAAAGATTAATGCTAAAATTAAAATCCATGTAAAATAAAGATAATACCAAATTATTCCAAGACCCCATTGAATGATACCAAGTAAAGTTTCGATAATTAAAAATACAAATATCAATGAACCTAAAAAACTAAATAAACAAATTATTGATTAATAATTAAAATAATTATTGACTAATAATAATATAAAAATAAATAATACATACACATGAATTATACATATTTTGTACACATGATATAATTTGGTATAAACAACACCAATAATAACTTCAATACAAATTAATGAAATTAGAATATGCCCGATTACTGCGTGTAGATTAGAAGAAAATATTTTTGTCTCTATATGAACGAGAAGAAATCCAATAATAATAGTTGATGTTGAAAAGAAAACTTGTATAATCCAATGTACACAAAACCATATTGTTGGTGCAAGATCATGACCAAAATATGCAACAAATACACCAATAGGTACAGAGATCATTGCCGCAAATCCATATAAACTAGCTATATATTAAAATTAGTAAATAAATTTATATATTGATAAAATAATATTTGAATAAAATACCATGTATTATTAACAAATGTTTATCTTTGATATTAATAACATTTTCAAAAACTTCACTATTATTAATAAAAATGTGTTAGAATTTGTCTAAAATTATAAAACACCCCAAAATTTGCTTTTATTAATTTAAATTATCTTTATTATAATAATTAATAATAAAATATCTGAATCATATAAATTTGATGATATCAACTCTCATTATTACAAATTGAATTTGGAGAAAGTTGATTTATATAAAAAAAAATTAATTTTAGTTATGAAAATAAAGTTAAGAACTTAATAAATTATATTATTCATTTCATTTATGTTGCTAATTCATAAAAAAAAATATTCAAAAACTCTCCCTTTAATTTTTTCTCTTTATCAGTTTTCGCAAATTTGTCAAAATCATTAAACTTAATCTTTAACAATTTTTGAACAAATTTTTCAAAAGTTTTATCGATTCCAGGATATATGAAAACATTTTTTTTAATGATTTGTATTTAATAAAAATTAAGTTATTTATATATTTATTTAATTAATAATATATAATTTATTTAATTTCTTTTAATTGCTTTATTAATAATTCTTGGCGATTGACTATTTCTTTTTGTAATTCATTATAAAATTCAAATTCTTCAATTAAATCATTTATATTATGTATATGTTTTTCAACATTCTTAATAACATCAACTATTTCATTTTCATGACATAAATACATTCTATCATTATTTTCTATTCGTTTAATAGCTTCATCAGAAATATAAACATTAGAAACTAAAAATCCAATTCTTTGCTTATCACATTCTCTTTCAAATTTTCTAACTTCATTTTCCATAATCATATAACATTCTTGTTCGAATAAACATTTGATATGCAATCCAATTTTTTTATAATTTCCAATCAAATTATCATTTTCAACTTTGATGATCTTGATTTCATTGTTATCCAATAAATGCTTGATTAACAAAAGATAGGTTTGGTTCTTTTCCTTTAACGAAAGCTAAAAAAATATGAGTAATCTTGTTTTACACCCTTTCATCTTATGCACCTTGAAACCAGGATACATTTCATCTTACTCAGGCAGCGTGACTTATAACAAAATAACCCAGTAAACTTACGTTAGAAAATTCTCCATTGTAATCGAATATTGAATTTCTTTCTTTTGTAATTTCATTAACTTGTCTTATTTTTTTACCCATAATAAAATGTTTTTGGTATCTTGTAAAAAATTCACGTTTATTTATATAATTAAATAATTATTAATTTTATATTCTAATATTAATAATAATAATATTAATAAAAACAGTTGAAATTCAAAAAAAAAATAAAAATAAAAATAAAAATATGAATGTAACAAAACAATTGAGTAATTGGATAATAAATGTAAATATTTATCTAAAAAATAAATACTTTACTAAAGGAAATAAAAATATAACTCAAGATGATAAAGATGATCTTATCAAATATAATGTTTTAATTCTTGAAAATTTTCCTGATTTAAAAGGAAATACTAAATTATATGGAATTATTAATGATTTAAATACTAGTAAAACAGGTAAGACAAAACTTATTATTAATAATATAAATTACCTTTTGAAACATGTTACTAATTCCTTTAATGATAATAATCATAAAAAAAAATCGATACGATTCGGATTTGGTGAGTAATTTTTTTGAATAGTCTACACCACTAATGAGTTTACTAACTTTTTCATTTTATAAACCATAATGATAATTTTTATTACAAATGATTGGTTTTTATGTAGGAGTAAATGAATTAGATGATAAACTTCGTCGATATATTAATTTATATAGTAGATCTTAATGAAATTCTTTGAAATAATATTTTTTGTAAAGTTTTATTTAAAACATCTAATTCATGTTTAAGAAAATCAAATGTTTTTTTTTCCAAGATTGAATTAAGTGTTTGTAACAAGAAACCACTTAAAACACATTTTTGATTATTTGTAATATGATCATAATTTTAATTAATATCATCGAGAAATTTAGTTCTTATTTTTTTAATTTTTTCTTTTAATTCCGAATCTGTCATTTGAGTAAATAAATATGGTCTTGAATCAATATAATCAATTAATTCAAGTAAATCAGAAATTTTCTTATCGATTTTATATATAAATAATAAGAAATAAATTGTTTCTTTAAAAATATT